CAAGTGCAATGAATATTCACACTTGCCTGAGAGTTGCTCTTCACTCATGCCACAATGCAACATGTCGGACATGTGGACTTTCGGGTAAGTTCTGACATGAAGAAAATGAGGAAAACTTTCCAGAATAAACTGAGGAAACACTTCACAATTGCAAACTTGCTTGTGATCTTCTGCTATTCTTCTCTCATAGACTCAAATGATCTTTGCTTATTCAATAAACTTCACAAATAAATGGTCAGAGTCCATAAAATCCGAAGGATATTTCGACAGATTGCAATGTCAATACTTGAATGATTATTTATCGCGCATCTCTCGCATTTTGTCTTCGACAAAACGTCTTGTCGTGACCAGACTTTTGGCATTTTATGCACCGATTTGGCTTTCACTGAAAAATCGTTTATATATCTGTAATTAAATCCCTTTGCTTCTCTTCTATGAATTCCATTCAGTTGAGTTCGTCTCTTTAGTCTGAAGCCATTTTGGCTCGAGGCAGCAAATCTGTTCTATGATATCCCGAGTTGCCTCTAGAAATCCCAGATCGACCATAAGTTAAACTCGTCGAGTGCTTATCAATACCCTTTCCATCCCATATCCATAACTTGTCTGTGTTTGTCCTCCGGCGGATTACCTAATAGTGTCAGTGGATCCTCCTCAAGGATAAAAATGTGTATTTGAAATCTCTGGCATTAGGAGCATTTGGTGAAATCGTAAAACATTGGCTTTCTCAATGTTTTCTCTCGGAGCCGACGGAGCGCCAAATCAGCAGCTTCTGCCGCAAACGGTTTTTCAAATTGAATTCCTCTCACTATTTTTGGTCTGGCAAACATTTTAAGAAGTGGGCTTTTCCTCTTCCACACGAATTCCGGTGTGTGGCAAAGAGGCGGAAAAAAAGCGACGAGATGGAGCATATCAAAGAGAAATCATGAACAGAAAATCTTCCTCCCGCCCAAACAAAACAGTCTAATGATATTTTACCTCGGGTGTAAATGATAAAAGCCGCTGATATCTCTTATGTTTTTGAGGTGTGTGTGTGTGTGGGAGATGGAAAAAAGCGCGGATTTGTCGGCTTTCGAGAGACTCTTGTGCCACTGAGAAATGCCGCGACCGGAATTTTTCTTGCGCAAAATTGCGCCGTGTGAAAAGCTCCTTGTCAATTAATCACCATCTCATCGAGGTGGAGCTTTTTTGCAGGCACTTCTCCATCTCTGGAGCTGCGGACGAGTTGTGGAGCGATGATTTTGAATGGGGAGCGAATATATGTGGAGAATGGGCGGCAAAAAGGGAACAAATGGCGGGTCAGAATCCCTTTGTGTATATTGCTCTCTTTGGGTAAATCCCTTGAGAATGAAATTGGTGTGTTTTGTACAGTTTTGAGGTACATGGAGAGAAAGGCAGAGAGTGTGTAAGATGCCTCCCACCATGCCTTTGTTGGCGGCCCCACAAGTGGAGCTACAAGAGCTCTGGGAGCCACGATGAAATGTTCTCACATTATGGGTGCAGAATACCAAACATGCACCTGATGCAAGATAATACAAACCGACGCCGACGTCCGGGAGTGGGAAATATTTTCTAATACCGACTCGTAAATAACCCAATTCTCACATATCTCCATATGCTTTTCGACTGTGCACGGCGGCTGTGGCGCGGTTTTGGGGGAGGGTTTGAAAAACTTTGTCTCCCTTGCCTGCCAACGCGCTGACCCGATCGGGGTGTTTAAAAAATTCCAGCGCAGTGTAAGAAAGTCCTGCAACTTTTCTGCGTTTCTCAGGTTTCCCACCATCTCCTTGATTTCATTAAAACTCCACGAGGAAAAAATTCGGATAACGTGAAGTTAAGTTCTTTTCCACCTTAATTAAGCAAACGCTTAGAAACTTCTTTCCTGTGTCCAAAGTTTTGGGAAATTTTTTATCCAGACTTCATAACTTGAAAGTATTCAATTTTGAATGTTTTTTTTCTTCTAACATTCAAAAGTGAGTAATAAAATTAATATTATAATGAGTCTTTGTTCTAAGATTAAATTTTCTAGCTCTTATCATAAATGTTTGTTCACTTTCTTCAATTCAAAGCTCAACGGCGTTCAATCAACTGACTTGTGTCTTGGCTAAAAACGATTTGTTTAATCAATGGTAATTTTAATCAGAGTAAAGCTGAGGTTTTTAGTTTATCGATGTGAGATTTTTCATGATAAAACAATTGGATGGAAATCTGTATACAAAAAATACACCACATTTGACAAATCCGACGGGAATTTATCGGTCAACACTGGAATAAAAAAAAACCCTTTTCAGATTTGATGTAAAATGCAAAGGTCAATAAAAATATCAAACATATCAAATTGCTGTCAGCTGAATATCCTCTCCCGAAGGATTTTACGCTCGAGTGCATTCAATTCGACGCGAGAATACTGTGGACCATCGCGACTGTCCCACCTTGTATTATATATTTCAGCGCGGCGGAAAATCGGCGCGGGAAATAGATAGCAACGGGAAATGTGTATTTTGTGTGCTCCCATGTGAAATACAGTGTTTTCACCCCGAGAATTTGCATATGCAGTAAAATTTCGGGGCTGCTTTGTAAATATTCACGGTTCTCCTCCATTTTCTCCAGTCGTGCGGTTTTTGCACTCTGTGCAACCCTCTTTCCCCCCGTCAAACTCCATCTCGCCCACTCTTCCGCCCCGATTGAAGGCATACTTACGTGGAGTTCTCCGGCGATGAGAGGCAGCGCGAGTGTCAGAGGACTCGCTATGGCTTTTTGCGGGCGCCCTCGAGGAAAAAAAAATAAAATATCCCCCCGGGGCGGTTGGCGCTTCTTTTTTTGCCAGGAGAGAGCGCGGATGAGGCAATAATCTCGCTGCAAATTCTAAAGGCGTTTGATAGAGTTTCAAAGTGAGGTGCAGGGAAAAAGTGGGCAACAAAGTTACTTCATCGGATGCACGTCCGGTGCAGTGGAGCTGCTCAAAGTCTGCATTTTACGTCGTCGGTTTGGGGGTGAATATATCGGAAAATTGTGGTGCGATTAAGGGCACTTCATTGCCGTGATTAAGGACCGAAAGTCACTCCTTCCACGCCATTGGCATTGTTGCCGAGTGCGGATAAAAATGATGTCTCTCTTGTCTGATATCACTTCCTGAATTTTAAAATCTCTCCCTCTCTCACTCTCAATCCCCCGAAACTACGATGGTGACAAATGTGAAGAATTGTCACATGGGCCGTATCTCTTCAATTTCACCCCCATCAATCTTCCTCAGTTGCGGATCTCGGGCTCTTCGCATTCAATTCCGCAATCTCTGTGCGCGCCTAAACTCCGGCAAGCATGGCAAAATCGATCAGGCCAAATCCGTGTACATCCATCTGCGTTATGACGCTCCCCTGCCGAGCGGCAGGATTTAGCGACTGGAGAAAATTGATCTCAGTTTTCGACTTGGGGATTGGGGGCAAACCACATGGCCACATAATGTTACAACTAACTTCTCACTTTGACCCCATTTCTACTCCGACATTATTATTATCTCCATTCGTCGCCCTATCGTAGACTTCTCACACCGCCCTTTTTTGCCCACCGTCGTCTTCATCTTGTGTGCGCCTCCAGCCCATCATGGGGCAATTTTGTACCCTCGCACTCGATAGTTCGGCTGAATTGGGGCCACTTGCGATGGGCGAGATATTGGGTCAGTCCACAAGTTTGTGAATGCTTTTCACAACCAGTCAAATTACATATGAAAACACCCCCACACTTAGTTCTGTCACAATTCCGAGAGTTACTCCACAATGTATAAAGTTCAAAGGATGGCAGGGAAATTTCCTGTGGCGCTTGGAAAACAACTAACTTTGTGACCATCTCACAATTCGGTATTGTTTTATCAAAAGCTGCGTATTTTCATTAAATTTTGCATCATTTCTGCTGAAATTTTAGCGTCAAGCACAAATGCTGAGTCTCTGGAGCTTTTGTGCTTTTGTTAAAGCATTCAACAGAAGTCAACTGCACGGCAACTTAATGTTATTTCATTCACTGAACTCTTTTGCCCGTTAAATGTATCCTTTTTATTTAATTTTTATCGAATGCACCCCATTAAAGCCCGCCTAATTAGAGAGGTTGGATTTGTACATGAATGAACCGTGACAAATATTGTTACTTCATGTCTTCGTTGCTTTACTATGTCTGCATTTGTCAGAAAATGCAGACATTTCCTTTCACTGTGCATTTCATAATGATATTACACATAAATGTCTCAGCTCCAAGAACATATTTCTGAACCCTTTGTCAAGTCTTTGCTACTGCAATTCGTGTATCGTTTGAGATATTAATCAATCCAAGGGGCATATATTTCGATCTGACATGTACAGCTTTGCGGAAGTGTTAAGAATTTAGAATATTTTTGCTGCAAGAAGCTTTTCTTTCACCAAATTGATGCATTTTCTTAATTATTTTGCCCAGAAAAATCAATTTTATTGCTTTCTAGGCCATTATAACTTATGTAATTGATTAAAAATCTTTAAAACACATTCTTGTAAGCTCAAAAACGTCATTTTAGTCTGAAGAATGTTTCTTTGCTGAGAAACAGTTGAAAGAGTCGAAAAACCAATGGAAAATGCCTTCAAAAGCGATCGAAAGTGTCTGAAATGTTGAAGATTTCTGTACAGATTCTGATGTACTGATTTGAGGCATATTATCTCGCCCTAGAATCAATAGACTGCAACGCAAATGAATCTGTCAAGTCAATTCTATCGCGCATTCCGACTGAGACTTTTAATTGATTTTTCTACAAAGCCTTTAAGTAAATTCCGTCAAATTCTAACTTTCACCATATAAATGCGTATCAATTATAATTTCGAGGCGCTTTGAAAAGTTGTCTGCTCAGAAGCTTCATGGAAAGTCCCGAGGGACTAAATCTGCGCTCAAAGCCTCAGTGAAAATCATCCCACAACTTGTGCGCCCACCCGATAGAGTTAGAAACTCGGTGCGACATCGTCCTGAAAGTTGGAATTAAATCAGACGAGTTATTGCCCTGCAATTTAATGTTGCTGAAAGTGTGGAAAGCGTGGGTGACAGAGGTGTGCGAGTTCCTCTACAAAGGACAGCAAAGGGGGATGCTGAGGAGCGCTACTCCTCCTCCCGCCACGCCGACAGATCCATCCTGGGGATTGCGTTGGAGTCGCAGGCCACGGGGTCGTTGCCGCCGGCTGGCAGGAGGAAGGCGCGGGGCTGGTGGGCTCTCAGGAGGATTCCGTCTGCATTGTCGCACAGCAGCCGCGCCATCGATGACTTCTTCACCTCGGCGAGCTGGCGTGCCGTGAAGGCGCCCGGATTGATGCCGGAATTGTGCTCGTAGAAGTATCGATCGCCGCGGCGGAAGCGTGAGAACTGATCGGCGATGATGTCGGTGAAGGTGGGGCCCAGCAGGGCGTCCACCCGGGCGGCCTCGAGCAGCCCACCCACCCACAGTTCAATGTCATCCGGCGAGGCGTAGGCGCGCCGCAGCCTGGCGGCAATCTCCTCGCCCAAATCCCCAAAATCGCCAATCCGCCTCGAGCCCGTCAACTCCAAGTACTCGTTGTACGTCCTCAGCCCGTGATCTCGAGCACGTTGCAGGTTTATCGCCACCAAATCCAGGCCAAAGGGATTTGTTCCACGGAACATAAACTGACTCAGCTGAAAAGAGAGAATGGAAAAACAAACGTGATGAGGCAGCACTGGCACAGAACAATGGTAATTTCCACCCCAACTCCGCATTCGTGTCGGCAAATTCTCACCCACATTGGAGGAGAGTGCAATAAAACCCACTGCAATGCTAAATCCCATCCATTAATATTTCGTGCATAAACCCAGTGACGCCAAGAAAGCTCCCCACAACTATTGATTAACCTCCAACATATGTATTTGCAAGTATATTTCAACCCCCGAATCCCCAAGCGAAATTTCCACTCATAACGATTGATTGGATTTCCAGGAAACAAAATTCACGCCACGAACAAATATTGCCTTCAAATCCACCTCCCAACAAAGCCCTTAAGAGCCTTTTCCTGGTGAAAACTATGCGGAAACAATTGCTTTTCGACTTATGAATTCAATTTACGGTGGGCGCGAGAGCTTTTGGGAAGAGCGAAATGTTTGGGCAAAACTTCAGATTAACGAGCGAGGCAAACAAAAGTGCAATCATTCTGCAGGAATCGAACAACAACTATATTGTCATTTGCATTTTTTGCAGAATTACAAATTTATAAAAATGTTTTGCAAATGGAATCCTTTAAAATTTCTCCACAATATTGCATGGAATATGAATTAATTACCATGATTCACAGAGGCTTATTGAGCAGAACACTGAGACGAAAGATTTTCTATGTTAAATTATACACAATTGATATTCAAAATGATTTCTAAATATTAGAAAAAGCATAATTTATTATTTTACATTCAATATCCTTGATTTGACAATTGGCTTTTAGTGTGAAGATTTAAAGGATACAAAGATACTCAAATCTCACATAAGTTTAATCAATTAAATTATCCGGTTTGTGACTAGAAACCATAGAAAAGAAACTTCACAGAAGTGAAAATTTTTATACAATGATAATTAAAATTTGTTTGCTAACTTTAACGACTCTTAATTAACTAAATGTCAATATGTGGTATTTTTAAGTAAGCTCTCTGCACATTTGGATGCAGAGAGTAGAGAAATTAAGTGAAATAGATAAAGTAAACCTCGAATTGCATTAACAAACTGCCAAAAGTGCACAAACAAGAAGTGTAATTCTAAAGTTTTAAGTGCAACTGCTCTCTATCGGACTGTATATCTCTTGCTCTTCCCTTTCCTTTCATTTCTTTGGAATAATTACGCAAAGAAAATATTATGTTAATTTAAAAGCGTTTGGCATAACTTAATAAATATTCTAGCTGTTGAACTTTCTGACTATCACTACTCACAGTTGAAAGTTTAACAAACTTCCGTGAAATACGTCAACACTTTTCGCGTTAAAATGCAATTTCACATAAACTTTTGAATATACAAAAGCGTCAACTTTTATAATAATACGACTGAAATTAGCCTCTACTTTGCTGGGGGAAATTGCTTTCAGTGCTGTTTTGGTTGATTTCATGTGCCTAGCAAGTTGTGTGTGTGTGTCTGGCCTCTTGACACAGTAATTTGTCACAGATATTCACAATAAATAATCTCCCGTCCCGTAAAAGCCCCCGTAATGGGAGCTTGTTTATCTTCACCACACCCCAAACCCACCACTTTCGGCTTATTCAAATATAGACTCTGTCTCGTGTGTGGTTGAAAAGAATCACTGTTTGATTCCATTTATTTCACCTTATCTTTAATCACCGCAATTGCCATGGCTTGCAAACCTAAGCAAATATCACTTTCCATACTCTCTACCGTCAAATTGGGGAATTTCTGACGATGATACTGAGAACCAAGGGAGCATGACTGAGTCTGTACACCTCTTGGGCTATTTGGGCTTGTTTTTACTGCACAAAATTAGGATTTGAAGCGATTTCAGAAGAAAGAGAATTTCCTTACAGTGTTGTTTATAAATGCTTATTTAGATCATTTAATCATGAAAAAAATCGACGGGTGAATCAAAAATCATGGAAAGTCAAAATCTCCATTTTTCCGGAGAGGCAAAATTAGAAAATTTGTTGAATTTTACCTTAAAGAATTTCTAATTGTCCAATAAAGTGTAAATATTGCTTTGAATAAGCAAATTGTGAATTTTTCAGTTGTTTTCATTCGTTTTTCATTGAAATTTTGGCTAAAATATTGCAAGTTAATCGATAAATTGAAAACATTAGTTGCCAAGTGTTGATTTTTGACAGTCTTTGAGAATATTTTAAACAAACAATGCTCTTAAAAATTAACTTTCCACATTTTCCGTGTACTTTTTATAGGATTTCAACCAAAGAAAATAAGAATTTTGTCAAATATTATACTCATTCGAAGTCAAAAAAAAACTCAGAGAATATAACTAAATTTAGGAAGTATTTAATGTTGAAGACATGAAAGTTTAGTACAGTCGTGATTTAGATAAATCCAATGATAAATTTTTTTTTCCACTTTTGCTTCATTAGAAATGAGTCTAATTTTTTTTTAGTAATAAAACAAATCAAAGCTTTCTAAAAATAAATTACCAACTGTGCATCCAGTTGGTTTAAAAGCAAGCATTCAATTCACGAGAGAAATATTAAAAACATTTGATCGTGTTCCAATCACTTCCGACCACAATATCTCCCCCTTGTCGGGCGAAACATTCACATACGACATGTCTCTCCAAACCATACCTACTAATTTGCAAAATCCCACTGAATAATTCCCCCACTTTAATGGGATGTTGAAAATGTACAGTCAAATATTCAAGCTCTTCAATTATATTGCTCTCGTTAGGCACTCCTCATGAATACAGACAAGGCACAATTCCTTTCCCTATGAAAAATTCTCTTGATTTCAATTATAATTGCACCTGATTTGAATTTAAACACCTTTTCCCGCTGCCGCACCGATGGCGCGGGGTGGGAATTGAATGGATTCCCGCTCGCTGGGTGGGAAAGTGGGCGCGCGCGCTCGGCAGTGTTACGTATGGCCGAAGGGGTGAGAGTGGAAGAAAGTTGGTGGGAATTTCTGTGAGAATTTGCATAATTGTCAGTGGAAATCGCTCGAAAGCCGGACCCAGAAGGGCTGACAGTGGAAATGTTTGGTGATTATGCAATGAATGCGGCGCGGGAACAAAAGCATCAGCATGTGGAATTGGAAGAATTGAGAGGTCAAAGTGGTGCTGGAAATTGAAAATGATCCCTGTTCGCAAATGGCACTCTTTGCAGCGATTCGCTGGAATTGCTGAAACTTACCCAATTTACTCTTGTAACCAAGGGGGAGATATCATCGTGATTGGAAATGGAGAACAAGTCTTTCCAACACTTTCCAATTTATTCCTTTCACTTCTGTGCACACTCGCATGGATTCTTTTGCATTGATGAAAGTCAATTCTTATCCAGGACTGCGTTTTGGCAAAGCTTCTCACGTTATGTGACAAGTTTAAGATTAAGTAATGCGCCCAAGAACATCAATCAATCATCGTGAAAACAAACATCTAAAAATGTGACGGTAATCAAGATCATCAAAAGGGTTTGTTGTGTCCCATTAACTATACGATTTTGTGAAATATTTCCCCATCAAATCCTTTGACTTCTTGCATTGTTTTACTCAAATAATTGCTTGCAATGCATTTTCTGAATATCAAATTCAGCTTGATAACTTCTTTGGTCTTGTGTTTGATTGTGCAATTGAGTATTTAGAACCAATGTGAGAATTAGGATCATAACAACTTCATCAATGATTCGTGTGCAATTAACCTTCCTAATCTCATTTCCCAGTGTTGAGCTTTGCAAGCTCTGTGCAAAAGCTAGCGTTGCAACTGGTTAATAGCCGGCCATTACCGTCAGTTAGTGGGCATTGTCAAAGGGTCCTTTGTCATGATTTGCCCAGTTCCCGGGCCACTGCGTGATTTATGTAATGGCGAAACACAGAGAGCGCCGCTCATGAGTGAGCCCAATTCCGCAGCGACCCATCCCATAAGAACTCACCCCATTGGTAATGGATGAGTCCACTTCCTGCATCGGCTGCGATGTCATCGTGACGAGGATGTCGTCGTAGAAGGATCTCCGCAGGAGGCGGGCGGGATTGAACATGACGTCGGGAATTTCGATGGTCTCGCTGAATGTGCGAAATACGCCGTCGACGGTGGAGTGACCGAAGCGGAAGGCGGCCGTTATGAATTCACTGGTGACAGCGGCATTCACATCTGCACTGTAATCATCACTGAAGCCCGGGCGCACATTCAAATCGAAGCGCGCCATTGTCTCAGCACCGATAAGTAGTGGCAGATACTCATTGTATGTGACGTGCTGGAGTTGGGCCACCACGATGCGCTTCGCCTCGGCGAAGAGTAAATCATCTGACCAGTGGGGATTGAGCTGTGCCAGCGCGGCGGCCACGCGGTTGTGCTCGCGCGCGTACACTATGTGTAGCGCCGTGACGCTGATGATTTGATTGACGCGCGCGTCGCCGGCCTGGAAGCACGGCGCCCCCGGCAGCACCTGCCCGCACTGGTCCCTATCGTTGCTGAGCGGCAGCAAATCCCTGCCGAAGTCATTCAGCATCCGCAGACGCCCACCTTCAAACACCCGCAGGTCCGCCTCGGTTTGCTCATTCGAGCCGTAAATTGGACTGCCGTCCAGATAGTGTGTCACCCGGTCGATCTGCCTGGCGGAGCCGAGTCGGCAATTTGGTGCAATTGCCGACCGCACGAAATTCATGCAGCCCTGATTGAACTGTGCATAGAACTCATCGTCCGGCGAGATGGGGATGGGCATGCAGGCGAAGTGGCTCTGCGAGGGCGGCAGCGGCCTCGAGCCGTCCTCAGAGCAGCACGAAATCGGCCTGCCGCTCTGACTCGTGACGGACGCCGTCATGGTGACGTCGTGCGAGATGAATTGCCCGAATTGCATCACCAGCAGATTGTACGTGGCGTGCGGCCGATCCACGTCCGGAAACACGAAGCGCGAGATGTCACGTGTGCTGGGCAGCGGCTGGCCGGTGGCGGACACCAGCCGCGGCTCCCAGATGCCGTCCACGTAGGCGGGCGGCAGGAGACGCTCGTGTGGCGTCCCGGCGGCCGCCCAGGACGTCCGGCCGGGCAGAGGATTGTTGCATGTGCCGTCCGACAGGCGATAGCGCCGCGGGCGGCTGGGACACGGCGCATCCTGCGACTCACAGTCGCGCTGCAGAGAAGGTGCCAAGGCGCCATCGAAGTTGTTCAGCTGGAAATCACGCACGGAAATCGCTTCCCTGCGGAGACAAAGTGCAATGTAAACCATCTGTGCTAATAAATGAAGAAACAACATTGACATTTCCTCTGAGTTGCGCAGCTTTAAAAACATCAAGCAACTCCGAGATTATGTGGGAAATATCAAAAGGATCTGCCGCAGAAGGTGCTGAATATTTGATGTGACATTTTGGCTGAAGCTTTGTGGTAGATTTAAGCCAGAACATAATTCTTATTTATTTAAATGTAAGTGAAACTCACGATAGCACAATGCAATTTCATTTTAGCAGATTAACTGAAGGATTAACTCTATGCATTCGGAAGTTTGCACGTTTTCCTGTTCCTCACAATGTTATTGGAAAACTTTTCCAAAAAGCTATATTAATAAACAGCGAACATTAAATATGTATTTGCGAAATAAGATGATGCAAACGTGCAAACACAGACAGATCATTATTTGAACACTTATTGCCTTCGCTTGAACATTATGAATATACGTTAATGCAGAAGTTTATAACTTCTCTCTAAGCATTTGAAGCTTCTTTGCATCAATTTGCAATATTATTAAACATAATTTGTGTAGTAAATGCAGTAAACCACCACAATAGATAGTAAATTAATGTGCAATTTTCTCATTAAGTGAGCAAATTTGTCTATTAAAGTCATTCTGTGTTAATATTACGCAACATATTAACAATTTCCATCAATTAGTGCATCCATTTTATCTATTTCTAGTCCACGATATTCATTCTGACAGCGATATGGCGACGTTCCAATGATTTTTAATCAACAACAAAACTCTATTCATACTATTTTCTGAGATTGCACATGAAGTTTTTTGGAAAAAAATTGCAACTTCAATTTCCACTTGCTTGAAAACTTCAATTGTATTCTTCTGAAGTGCACAGAATTTCCAATTCTCTAAACTTGGCACGAATGCCAAAGTGGAAAATAGAATTAGAAAAGTGGAAAACGGGAAAAACACAAAGAAATGTACATTTTCTCTCACACAAATTTCATTTTCGCCCATCATTTCCTCATATCTCAAAAGACGAATTGCTCTAAATTTCAAGTTCTCTCGCAGACAGAGAAGAAGAAAAAAAAAACTTTGCACTTGCCAGAAAAGTTTATCATATACAAAAAAAAATTTTAATAGAGGACAAGAAACAATTGAATGGGATTTAGTCATGTCGTCAAAGTGAGAGAATGAATCATTTGAGAGAATGGACGAACTTTTCTCCTGCGCCATGGCTTATCAGGGAAAGACAAGGGAAAGTTTCGTTCACCAAAGGCAACTTTTGCTCCTTCATTCTCATCTGAATCTCCTGCGAACTCTCGACTTTTCACTCTCCTGTTGGCACCATTGGAATGGGCCGCAAGTTGAACATGCAACTGTTGAAAGAGAGGCGCTTTTGAACAAGTTTTCGCAACATTTTGCCCCCTCATTTCCTATTTGTCGGCATCAACAGAGTCATTATGGTTATTTGAAAATTAATTACGGACTCCAAACAATTAAGTTCATTTGTAAAATATCCTGCGAATGCATTTCATAAATAATATCCCAGACAATAGCCGCACATTCATATCCTGGCCCAGTGAAATTTATTAATTTCTTATACAAATTGCATGCTCACATATTAATTATCGAAGCATCAATTGTGGAATTGAAAATATGACTGGCCAATGCTCATTTTCACCGTTGAATATATCCAGCTTTTTTTGCAATTTCCTGATAAATTAAGCGTCAACGAAATAATTCATCGTCCAGCATTCAGTTTGACTGCGAAACTCACGAGTTAATCAATAAATATTCCATACATTAATTATTTTGTTATTATTTCACCGAATGGAGCGTTTGTTCATTAATTTCAGCAACTTCTGAACTTGTTGGCGAGTATCGAAAGATTGCAATCTATCTCTTTAGTAAATTTCACGGTAATTTAAAAAGGATTCCTTCCTCTCACTTCCCTCATGGCGAGATATAATTAAGAGATATGCAAATGAACATCCTGAGCATTTAATGAGAAATATTCATGGAAGTTCTCCAAGCCAATTTATATGTGTGCGAGCAATTTTTTTTGCTAGCTTTTAATTTAGAGAACTTGAAAAACTCACACAAACTTCTTAACACTCTCTTTCCCTTGTTCTTCTGCTCTGCTCGCCGCTCCGCAAGGAGACTAATATACATTTGTACATATACTGATGGAGAAAAATATTATTCAGTGTCGTCCTTCGTGGAAAACACCCAGACATAGAGGGAGAGAAAAGCAGAGGAAAAGGGGTGGATAAAGTTGCATTTCCTGAGCCCCAGTTGGAATGGAAATATGTCGAGATTTCTTAAGTCATACGAAGTATTATCTTCTGCACAAGTTCCTCCAGTGCCATTAGCGTGAAAGCACTGTGATTCAATCTTGGGAACACATAATTAAAAAAAAAGGTGAGTGAAGTTTTTTATTTTCCCGCCCAAAAAAAAACACGTTATTAATTTGCGCTGTGAATTTTCCAAACTCATCTCATTTTCTCGGATGAATTTCAGTGAAATTATTTTGATTATTTTTGATTTAATTAAATTCGTACATTCGCTGATCAATAATAATTGAAATACTTTTCAGTCAATTAAAAAATATTTAATTTCATAATATAAAATGCCGCGATGTTTTTCATATTATGAAATTAATTCAATTAAATTAATTTTTTAAATTCTCCAAACAACATGGCAAACATATTCATCAGTAAATAATATTATGGACGCAATATTTCAGTCAAAATCGTTAAATTGCCCGTAAATATCTTTTGAAAAATCGGAAAATCCAGATTACAGATACGATTGAAAAGCAGCAAAACTTGTTACGAATTTTGAGTGTTATTTATAATTTTATGCTTTAGAATTCTATTGAATTTCTGTGTCCTCTTCACTTTTACAGTGTAATTCACAAGTATACTCATAAACATGATTATTTCCAATGAGTGGAAAGCCGCAATATATGTTGTTTGATTCAATTTGATTTTGGTTTGTGACCATATTTTGGCTAAAGCACCATTGTTATTGGCAATGCAAATGCGATAATATTTGTAACGAAGTAATAAAATTGTTTGAATTCACTAGAAATGCAGTCTTTTAACATAAAAATGTTCATCAATTATTCTACGAAAAGCAATAAATATAAATAGTTGTTTATTAATTAAAATTGCGCCATTAAAGCTCTATTTGTTTGCTCTTTGAATGGAATTCACAGCAAATACATCACGATGCTTCATGAATGTTTAATTTGAAAAATATCTATGCTTTGCTGGAGTTCTAGAAGATGTCAAATAAATTTTTAAGTAGCATTGTATGTGAAACTAAACTTTTAATCTCAATATAGGAAAACATTGGCAAGATGAGAGCTGACTTTATAGTTCCACTGTCAGAGTTTATATTGAATTATATTTCACGTACGTTTTATACACAGTTTCGACAACATAAAAGCAATTAAAACAACTCGAAACTAACAGAGTTGATTGTTCTGGGGAATTGGAAAAATCAATTTTATCTCGAGAGTAGCATAAAGCACTTCAGTGTGAGATATTTAGCCCAATAAATTTGGCCTCAGCTCGTAAATTTTCTAACTAAGCTTTCGGAATCTGTTCAATATCGAGGCAAAAATGCATGTGATAGATTTGTTGAAATATTTTATCATCATTTTCAGCCAAACTGTGGACAATTTAAAGGCAAAAAAATCTCTCTTTGAGCACAAAATTTGCTTTCGCCACGATAAAATGACATTTTGTCACGTCAATAATTGCATTTTCATTTTTTATTTCAAATAATGATCGCCGATTTGCCGACCATGTCACAACATTGTCCATCAGCATCGAGGAAAAACGAGTGAAATTCAGTTCACAACATGGAAATTGGTTATTCCTGAAAGGCATCACTCACAAAAGCAACGAATTTCATTATCGCCAAATCAATTTTGCCGTCATCGCTTGCGGTGTGCTAAATTCACCTTCGCCTGGGAGATATTTGACTCCCGCCAGCAAAATATATTCATTTGTGTATTTTGTGAAATTGAATTTAGCTAATTCAAACTCCCTTTTCCATCCATTCCCGGACCATTTCCTACCGACACTTTAGCGACAATTTATTCGGAATACAAATTGATGAAAATATGGGGTACAACTCAATATTTACGTCTATTAAACAATTCATAAACTTTTCTTGTGCCATTTTGCCATTGTGAAATGCTACATTGCGAAATGGTTGTGCAAATTTCATTCTCATAATTGCAAAGTTTTAATTTTTCACTTGTCTAGCCAAGAGCAAGATATTCAGAGCAACAGCAAAAACACACACACACAAATCTACTATCCGAAATATCTATAAGCACATAAATAGATATATATATATATATTTGGGCACGGAAAGGATAATGAAAGAGGACTTATTCTGTGTTGTGTTTTAATCTTTTGCCATCTCCGCCGCTTCGCGTCGGCTGAAAGGATATTTTTCGATTAAAACCATGAGATTTCTTCGCAGATGTTGAGTTTTCTCATTCCAGAAAAGTGAGCTTTAGGCTCGGATTTGAGGCATTATTTTATATCTGACCTACTCCCGTGACGCTCTGTGTGAGAGGCTATAAATTTCTCTGGCTCCTTTGACAAATTTATTGTGCCAATTCAACTCCCAAAGAGCGCCTTATGCAAGTCCGGAATTTGTGTGGTGATATAAATCAGGAGGAGAAATTAAGCAATTATCCACCAATTTTCTAATCATTAACTGAAAGCAAGGGATAGAAATGGCAACTCAAGGGTGTACAGCGCAGTAATAAAACGCAATTTTAATAGACATTTGACTTACAGTAGGAAAAATCTCAGGTAATTATTGGGAAATGCAAGAATCTGTGCTTTTTCATCTCACAATAATATGACGATGAAGTTGAATAGAGCTTTGATTGACAAATATTAGCAAATTCCTTTGAAGATTAGTTAAATTTTGAAGCAATGATTGAAAATATTTTGTTTTTCACTAGAAATTTATTGCCTTACAAGTGTTTTTTAATTACCACGACTTAACATCTCTTCAGTTCTGTGATGTGATAAAAACGAGCCCGTTTGATTGACTCCTAAAGCTTTTGAAAAGCTCTAAATGCACAAATAATTCTTCCACTGTGTTTCGTATAATAACTTAATGCTCCGCAATTAAATATGATTTTTGGTCAAATGGCAATGTTGAGTTCAAATCCCCAAAACTCATATAATGAATTCTGAATTGGCATTCTGGTTGAAATAGAAAATTATGCTCCACATATTAATATGCCAAACACACATATTAAGTGCGCACATATTCAATTTAATCATTTGACATAATAAATAATTACCTTTTCATCACCCAATAAATTAATTCGTGCAAGCAGCTCTGAAAGTGGTTTTGCGGATGAGAAAAATCCGCAAAACCACGCCAATTAAATAATATTAATATTTATTCAATATACACTCAAAATATCCAAATATTCTGGGTTTTGGTAAATATATAAATTATTGCACAAGTCAAACAGCGCGAAGCCATCATTATTAATCATTGTTATGCGGAAAGTGTGTGTGTAGTGAATATTTTGGACAGTTCGTGAGTGTTCTTCAGCTTGTTTGTTATTAAATGTTCAGTCAATATATATATTTCCCCCGACAATAGCTCTCTTCGAAATCCCTCGAAATGGCTTGAAAAGTTGCTCGTCGTTGGCAATAAATAATGCCTCGGGGCAAAAATGTGCAGCGTACAGAAAAAATGGGCAATAAAACTCATTCTGATAACTGTTTCCCAAATTCAGAGCAGGATTCGCAATGCTGCTTCACTGATAAAGAGCGCCACAATCATCAAGTCGGAGATAATATGGTGAGAAGTAGAAGTTTTAGGAAGTGCAAATGCGTCAATTTATGCAATATTTGATTTTCTCTTGATTATTTAACTCCAAGAAATTAATTATTATCCAAGTCTCTATTTTGACAAATTCTTTTGGTTATGTGGCTGATTTAAGTCTGAAGAACATTTGAAAGAAGAAATTCTGGCGCCTAAAATGAAAGTATTTTCACTTTATTAGTAGAATTGTGTATTTTTACTCAATAAAAGTCGAGATTGCGGAAGTTGGAGTATTAAAAACATTGCTAAAGTCAAACATAAACTCAATTTCTTACTAAATAATAGCGATTTTGAGTTAGAAAGATTCTAGTGAATATATCTGAAGAATATTTAATACAAAATTTTAAAGAAGAAATTCCTTCAGACAGTTTGAAAATCAGAATTATGAAATTGATAGTTAGATTTTGGTTAAATTTTAGTCAAATTTCAGTCATATAAACAATGAAATTGCGAAAGCGTCAATCCTACCTTTCTCTGAACATTCTGCTCGCGATCACTTCCTGCATCGCCCGGTTCGTCATGGCGTTCACGCGCTTCCGGTCGCGCTGGTTGGTCTGGAAGAGGGAATTGTGGGCGAACTCGGGATTGCCGGGCTCAATCTTGTGCGACCTGGCCAGCATCGCCGTCTGCTGCATGCCCACGAGTTGGCTCTTCGCCTCGCGGATCAGCTCCGAGAGGCTCACGGAGCGCGCCTTGTGGTGGTGCAAATGGTGATGCGCCTGGCTTTTTTGCCCTGCAAAGCGCCACAATTAGTCCTCATGCATCCTTCATGCACCTCAGCCACTCACCTGTGTGATTCTGTCCGGTGGTGCAGCACAATCCGTGGCCACTTCCGCTGGCCAGTTCGCAGGGCCGCGGCTTCTCGGCCGCCGGCAGGTTCACGTGCGCCGGACACTGGATGGGCGGAACGCATCGCACGTTGTGCGGACAAGGGTCGTACTTCACCAGCAGACCCGACTTCTTCACAGCTGCGCCGGAGAAAAGCAGAGTGTTTTTTTGTTCTCATTAAGGGGGTTGAAGCTTTAATTGTTCGGGGGTGGAAAATCTCAGTGGTGAGATGAAAGGAAATCACTTTGAAGCGGAGAATTGGGGAAAAGTCAGTCTTTTCAGCTCCCCGAAATTCACTTTAATCAAAGCGGTCAAAGCATTGGAGCAAAATCGAGCCTTCTTTCTCCGAAGCCGATGGTTTTTGTGCCAAATAATTGTCAATTTATCCCTCTTTTCGAGCATGTGGTGTCGAAAGTATGGCGATAAAGTGTACTTACGGAAGTTTGGAACTGGTGTAAAACCGGCCTTTTTATTGCTCAATTGATTCTCCTCGGCTGACGAACGGGACAACTTGAAGGAATTCACGCCATGGACAAGTAAAATGGATAAAATGGCACAAAACAGTGATAAATTTCGCCGCCTCATTGTCCTTTTGATTGGGAATTTAACGATTCCTCACTGACTGACTTCCTTCCGCGCGCGCTTTTCCCCGGGGGAAAAAAAATAGAAAGGAGAACAATTGGACACTTGCAATGAGGTGGAAATTCACAAAGGCAGGATTTTCGCACGCTTTTTAGTGGTCACACACTGGCACGGAAGTGAAACAGTCCGCCGGCCGTTGTGGCCTTTATATATGAAAGATAACGGGGTTTTGCGCCGCACGAAAAGTCTCCACACTTGGCCATGTGCTGGCGCAGAGGTGGCGCTGCGCGCGTGTTCACCACTCGAGCGCCATAAATCGATGAATTGCCCACCTTGGAGGCTACACCACACCTTCGATTCGCTCAGTGACAGTTGGAGATTCATTTGCGTTGGTTGGTGGTTGAGTGCAGCTCTTGTTTTTCCGTGAAAAACCCGTGGAAATGCTGCGTGGAAAGTTGTGAGGTGTGCGACAAAGTGCAGCGGCGAGAGCCTGTGTGACATTACAGCAGCAATAATTGGATTATGTGGTGTGCAAGTGTGGCAAAATCGCAGTGAAAAGTGGATGTTTGATTGAGAAGGAATTTCTGTGGTGTCCATATACAAAACACACACACACACACACACACTCGGGCACAGATGGATTAAGCCGCGCTCGCATTAAGCCCAGAGCAGAGCGGCGACTTGATTCACCTCCGCGGACATTTGTATGGGTGAGTGAGAAGAGAGAAGTTGGATAAATAACTGGATTTACGTCGTCTTTCCTTGTCCTCACCTCTTGTTTGGCCACCAACACAGGCGCGCGCGCGCGCGGATCGCCAGCGACTTGAGATCGCAGTGTGTTGCGTGTTTTTGGAAGAGCGCGCAATGGCGAAGGCATTTGTACACATTTTTCTTTCAGGTTTCCCCGCCGCGCGCCCCGCGCGACCCTCTCTGCCCCTAGAAGCAACACCTTGTGTCGTCATCAGACACACTCAACGTGCAGAGACAGAGACAGAGAGATAAAGGCTCTGCGGAAAAGAACGTTACATTTGGCTTCTTTTTTGCCGCACAGCGTTTTTGGATTTCGGCCGAGAAGATGATGATGAGTTTAAAGGCCAAACAATTCCGTCACTCTACGCAATTTTCACCCAACATCGCGCTCTTGCCTTCGTTCGTCGCTCGTGTCGATTCTCGCTATCAGTGAACAGTGTTTTTGCCATTATTGCTGGAGAGATAAGACACTGTGATTTGGGTGCTTCGGCAAATTGTCTCAACTAATTGCTGGTGTTCGAAATTCGCTTCCTCAAATTGCCTTTGAAAGACTGTGCAAGAAATTGGAAATTTTCGCACACCTGAGGCTCTTGGCAAAGTGTAGGTTTTGGGGCTTTTAGGGTTAAGGACAGTTGTTATTGATGCAGACATTGGTTTTTTGTAAACTCTTTATTTCAAGATGGAAGTCTTAAGTAAATTGGCAGACTTTCAGTTTAAGCTGAGAGACGACTAAGTTCGTTAGGTTTAGCCAATGTGTGTAAAGGGCTTTACAGACTGAGTTTAACACTTATTTTCAGTTACAAAAGTTCATTTTTAGTAGGTTTTCAGAATCGTATTTTTATTGCTATGAATAAATATTCTGAATAAGTAAATTATCAGGTTAATTCGGGGAAAAAGTCGGCTAAAATTGAATAGATTTAGCCCGAAATCAGCACTTGAAGTGTCGCAAGTTCGAGTCTTGCTACAGACGACATTTTCACGTTAATTTTCTATTTGTCTACGATTCTCGGTTGATGAGGAATGCATTATCAATAGAAAAAATTCATTGAGTTTGCTATTGCGAGCTTTATCTCGATGAGAAGCTTAAGTATTCTTTGACGAAAGCCATTATACAGATAAACAACCACAATAAAACGATCTTCACATTACTCTACTTTTCGCATATATTCGTGTATTCCAAAGGAAGTTAACAAGTGTCACGTTTGAGTGATAAGTAAAACTCGATCCAAGAAATTCTGCACTCACTTTTCACGTCATTCTCTCGCACGGAACACACTCACATCTTAATTATCTCCGGAGTAAAAGCGAAAAAAGAGTGCCAAAGTGACCCCATTCAATATGGATGAGGTTGTGATAATTGAATTTGCCACAAGAAAAAGGCCGCGCACTTTCTTCACATCCCCATTCTTCCTTACCCCCAAATCCGCCAATGCATGCATTGTGGCTGACGACAAATTGGTTAATTTCATTGTTGGATTGTTGAATGTTCATTGAGTTGTACGATATACTGTGTGTGAATTTGACCACATGAGAGGTTTTCTCTTTTATTTATTGTGTGTGCGGCGCGCCGGGGAAAAGAGTTTTGCAAATTGCGAAATTCCAGCTCTGAAAAAGTGACTCATTCATTCATTTTTCTCCATTATTCACCTATTAGATACCATTCCGAATTGCTTCTCTGTGCTCAAACACGCGACAACTGTGCATAGTAATACGGTGTCTTGCGATCTTTATGGCTGGGTGTATTTTTTTTTAATGATATACAAAAGGTAAAGAAAACACGGCTTTAAATCACATTTTGTGCAATTATACACTTGCAAAATGTCCAGCTTCCCAAGATCCGGTTATGAGAGTGAATTGAGTGAGGAAATAGGCTCTTAATATGATAACCCGTGCAGTTTGTGAGCGAATGAAATGCGCATTTCAGCGTCTGAGAAGGGTTTCTGTTTATATGTACCTTAAGAGTGGAGGGAAATAATTCCCATGCTCCACTTTGGCCGGTCAACTGACAGCAATCTTCACTCGATATTTCCAATGAATTGGTAAACACTGATAAAGACCACATTCTCTGACTATCGGGCATTGCAGTGGAATGTTGGAACACTCTTCTGTGCACAAACCATTGAGGGATCATGTGAAAAGCAGAAAAAATCAATTTGGACCAAATGTGGGTTAATTCTGAATTGATTTCTCTGTAGAAGGTTAATGATCTGAATCGATGAACAATCTCTCGAGATCCATTCTAAATTTACTGAAACATCGCACATTAATTTCCTCTCTTTCGGTCGAGGAAAAGCACTTCAATCGATATGATTGACCAAATGTGGCGCAGGATTTGCTATTCCCAGAAATATGATTTGATTTCCCTTTTGGCGTCGAAAACACGTCCCAATGCGAGATGCTCTCGCCTAAATATATGAATCAATTGAACGAAATTTGAACCGTGCATAATTTAAAGCGGGTGAATTCAAATTTGAAGCATTTCTCTTCGTCATTTTTTTTAGCGTATTTATGTTTTTCTTCCGTCTCACATCGATTTTATTCGCTTCACTTGAGTGTGTTTCCGTTCCAAATTATAAAACGCCCTCTCGCAGTTCCTCTCCGGCACATTTTTACCGCGCCTCAATAACTATCTCACAATGTCTCTCGGTTTAACGCTACTGCCGCTGAGGGAATTGCTGCGGACCATCCATTGGATTTTCCATGATGTTTTTAGTCAGAATCTCAGGTTTGGGAGATTTTCGTAAACTAGGTTAGACTAAATTCAGTTTAGAGTTAAATGAACTTCTTAACTCTGAAATTCAACAGCATTTGAATCAACAAGATCGATCATACCTTTTAGGACTTGAAGTCACTGGCAAAGAGAGACTTAGCGAGGCTTAAAGTATATCAATTGGTATTGTTTTTAAGACGAAACGAGGCCACACTTTAGGCGAAACCCCTTCAGGGCTTGGCCCTCATTTTAGCACTTCATCGTGTGCCACAGTGAGTGTGAAGTTGTCAATATAATTTCTCTTAAAGTAGCGCCTGAAGTTGTAACATGAGAAGAGTTTTGACTGGGGGAGAGAAAACTGTCGAATGTGAAGAAATGACAGTGGAATTCCGTTATGGACGTCTCTTTATCTCTTCCACCTTCCTCAAATGCGCCATGGTGAATTTCTCGAAAAGACAACAAACTGATGAGATACGCTGAAAACTATCACTTTGCCACATTCTTATCTCCTCTCTCTCTCTCGCTCTCTCTGCCTCTCGGTCATTTCTCTGGGGCTTCGCAGACACGCAAAGTCGTCAAGGTGGCTTCGTGAGAGACGCGCGCTTTTCATATTTGAGCTCGTTTTGTGTATAGTTGGAAAGAGCGATGTGTGATTATGGTTGAGAAATGCGTGCGTGTTGTGCAACATATCTTTTCCTTCGGTGTCTCTTTCCCTCTGCTGATAGTGAATACCTTTCTTACCTGGAGGATTATGGTGTGAGGTACCTGTTTGTGCGTCTAGAAGTTGTATATAGAGAGAAATGTTGCAAGTTTCCTTGGGATTATTTTCACTGCCTCTGGGCTCTTATTGATGTTCATCTTGCTCTCTTGCCGCTCTGACTACGATAAAATACTGAAAGCGACAAGATTGTTTGACCCAAAACTATTCTATATGTTGAATACTATTTGCTTCTTGCCTTGGCCAGACAACTCTATGTTATATTCTCGATGTCTACACAAAGTCTCTATATATCTCTGCTCCAGAAAGCCTAAAAGCCGATTTTCACTATTCAGCCGAGATTTATGAGAAATTCTTCCCAAGGAATCTCACAGTGGATTGTAGTGGAAAGTACATGGCAAATGGGATAAATCCTTGTAATGCGAGCGTTGCCATTTCGTGTGATATTGTGTGGAAAATGATACAAATGTGACAACCTGTTGCATTGGCCACATTCGTTGAATTCCATTGGCTCTGAGGCACTCTTGAAGGCAACTTGGGAATTTTTGCATGAAATTATCGATGGAGACGATGAGGTGTTGTGCAAGAGATATTTTTCATTATTGCTGAGTTATGCATCTGGTGATGCCGTGGAAATGCAGTTCAAGATTGATGCATTGTGAACATCGTGTGGGATTCATTATTTGCAGAATGTGTGGTGGAATCGGTGCTATTTTCAATTCATATGCTCTTGAGGGCTTAGAATTTATTTAGTGCATGAAAAAGAGGCATTTATGTATTGGCTGAGCAAGGAGAATGTCAATTTCACACTGCATTAACTTAACTATTGGATATACAGGAGTTTTGATACAGCTGATAAGACTTTGTCTAAAACCGAAAGTGATTTCTTTTTTTTGGGAGAAAGGCAGCAAAAGCGTAAAATATTAAATTTTAATTTATTGCCCATAAAAATGCCATGGGTCAATATTCAATTTGTCGCCGATTGAGCAAGCGTTAAGAAAGACACCCATTCAATGTGGTGTTTCTAATCTACAAAATGTTGTGTTTTTGTGTAAGCTGAAGAATGGGCTTTTCACCGAATTCGGTGAATTACACATAAAATTGTGGAGATTTTGTGAGGAGGTGAGAAGGAATGTCCAAAAAACAAGGCGAATAAAAATGATATTTGTAAATTAGAGACGCACCTTTTTTCGTCCAAACCAAGAGCAGCGCTTGTGGAATGTTTTCAATCAAGACACCAACTGTTGTCTGTCTCGTCTTTGGCTTAATCTTTTTGCATCTATACTATTGAGTAGAAGAAAAGAAAAAAAAAGACTCACGAGGTTCTTTTCGCGACAATGAAATTCTCTGCAAGCTGGAAGATGAATAATGTTTTATTCATACGAAAAGCGATTCAATGTGAGACACTCTTTCAATTTGATGATATCATCAAGATTCCAGTGCGAGTGAGACAATTGAGCTCATTGAAAAGTCTCAATTAAATAAAATCACTGTCTGGTTGTTGAGTGGCGAGGAAGAAGGGTAACATGAGC